GGTGGCTGACTAAATACTTTTTTGCCCCACTGTATATATACATGGCACAGTGAGTCACACCAATAGCATAAGCATGCATGCTTGAATAAGAAACACTCAAGAAAGTTATGGAGTGTCAGTCAACACTTATTTTCTATTGAGGTGGGTAAATGTGCCTTTCACATAATGTATTCGTTTCATAAAAAGGCAAGACAGTAACTGCATGACGGCTGCACCTCGCTGAGATGTTCAGTGTTGGTTGGAAATGTAAGCTTCATAACGGTGCTTTGAATAGGCCACATACTGTGTGCTTTTCTGCCATCATTTTCCTCTCTAGATAATTGATGTCCTCTAAATGGTATTTTACAATTGTTCACATTTATTTCAGTTACTCATCTATTACGGGCATATGTAGGGGTTACATAACAGGCTTTTTTTGCATGATGGATGCTTTTGATAGGGATTGATGAGGACGTTTCTTCTGGCCGTGCCAAAAAAAAAAAAAACAGAAGGAGAAGGTGAGAGGTCAGATAATAATGAGACTTTACTCTTCCCTCTCCCTCCTCTGAGAGCCACAGCTCCGTTTGATCCATTTTTAAGACTCTCCTCTCGCCCCAGACGAAATAAAATCGAACAAAATGACGGAAAATTGTTCTACAGTTTAATTGAGCTTTACATTAAGCAGATGTCATGGAGTAAAGAATGGTATAAACGCTTTTTTGCTAATCTCCGTTTTATTATGACAAATGGCCGAGTCGCCACCGTGCCCCAGGCTCTTAAACTCTAGCTGGGTAATCAATTCAGAAGACTTGGGCTGTTAGGAATATGTGCGTGATGTGATTAGCCTAATTTCAGAGGCATTTTGCTGTTGATCATTGCTGGAGCAGTCATAACTGTTACCAGTATGACTGTGCTGTTTTTTTTATTGTCTGCACTGTTTTTTTTATTGTCTGCAGACGTTAATGAAATATAAACACAAGCGCATATAATTTTATCCTAACGGATCAATATCACTGTTATGTGGGGTACGACTGCTTTATAGATCTCTGTAATATATAGCATGCATATGTGGCCTCTGGGCTACATAAATGAAATGTTAGGTTGGAGGCGAGAGAGATGGAGAGAATGTCATTGTGAGATTCTGGTCTGATGTCAAACATAAAGGCTAAGTTCTGTAGCAGCCTGAGGATACATGAGCTTCGGTTCATTTGGTGGAGTTCGTATTTCACTCCAGCGCTAGTTAATTATTCAGGCTAATGGTATTTTATCAGGGCTCTGGCAGATCATTTGTTATGTATCCCTTACTGCTCATTAAGTGTCCAACTGCGAGGGACATGGGTCTACATAGAAAGACAGCTGAGAAAGAACTAGCTTTTTCTGTATGCCTCTGTTGAAAGTTTGCATATCTAAACAAATGAAACGCATGGACATTCGGTTGCTTTAAAGGGGACATCGCATGCCCATTTTCCACAAGTTGGTATGATTCTTTAGGGTCTTCATGAAATATCTGTAACATACTTTGGTTAAAATTCCTCTGTGGTCGTGTAAAACAACACCCTTTTTACCTTGTCAAAAACAACTGTGTTCACAGCGACCTGTTTCGGTGCATGTCTCTGTAAATGCTAATGAGCTCTGCTCACCCCACTCCTCTCTTCCGTGAAAGAAGGTGATTTGCAAATAATCATAAAAAATATAAAGTTTGAGACTTACTACTTCCTGAGGTGCAGCTGGATCATGAACAGTGGGTACTGATCCATGCTTGAGTTTGAACTTTTTAGCAAAACCTGCCTTGAATGGTCCCTCACTCAGAAAGCAGTCTGGTGTAGAATGATTTGTGCTGACATAAACGAGTTTAGATTTATTCGGTGGCGCATTACCATAAAAAACAAAACTAATCCACTGCGTCCTCAGTGGCTCTGATGTCAGGAGAAAATGAAGACTCTTATGTACACTTTTACATCCAACTACAAAACACCTGCATTGCTTACGAAACATTGTTGCGGACAGCGTACAACTGGCTGAGGGCGGAGATATGCTAATACGGGACAGTCTGTCAGCGGTCGTGGGCAGGGCCTGCACAATATGACGTCATACTGCTCAGAAAATCAAAACACTTGATAATTGAGACCGTTTATCAGGGATTAAAAAAAAGGAGTGAATGGATTTGTATCATTGTAGGGCGGTTGTGTCCACACAGTGCTAAGACACATTATATGCAAACACCATGTTAAAGTGAATTTTGCATCCAATGTCCCATTTAATGCAAAATTTACATATACAGTACATTTGTGTTTAGCAGATGCTTTTATCCAAAGCGATTTACTAAAGAGAAGTAAAAAACAGTTATATCTGCTGTGTCTGACAGTGTAGAGTACAGCACTCAGACCAATACTCAATGACTCATGACTTAATTCTCCTAAAAAAAATTTACACATTGAATAGTAGACAAAAATGACTTTGTGTTAATAAGCCTCAAGTATTTACATGAAATTAAATTAAAACTCCATGAAACGCCACCATATTCAGGAATATGTCGCTGTTCTTATGTAATTTCATGTTATTTTCTTGGCCGTTGAATATTATGTAAAGGAATTGTCTATCAGCGTGCATATGAAATATCATTAGAGAGCAGATAATTCTGTATGTGGGAATCTCTCAGGAAAGAGCCTTTATGTTCTTTTTGTTGTTTTCCTGGCATCTCTTTTCCCTTTGTTTTCCTAAATTTGTGTTACATGCTTTAATCATCTGTGTAATGAAAAACAAATTGGTTTGGCACAGCTCAGGGCTCTACACTAACATTTGCTTAGGAGTACTCGTGCCCTTAGGGGCTCAGTCAGATTTTTCTGAGACTGCAGTAATAATTTGTGACAATACTATATATGCATAAATAAGTAGTAATGCAGCAAAAAGAGTGAGGAAAATTTGATAAAGAAAATTCTATTGAAAAGTTTATATTAACTTGCTTTACTGTAAAAGAAGACAGACCAAAGTCTATTGGAGCACATTTTACAAGAAAATACAAATTTAGTCTACTTCAAGACATTATTGATTTAATATTTCATTATTTCAAATGTATTATACAAATTTATTTTATCAGCAATTTCTGAGTAAATGTTTCTAAACCATTTTTTTCCAGTGTAACAAAACATATTGAAATCACGAATAGCTGTTAATCACCATTTTACTTAAATGCGTTTTAACTATTGATCTAAGTGTTATACATGTAATACTTTTTTTTTTACATGATATGATTGAAAGTTACTGTAAAGTTTGGTTCACATAAGTCAATATGGTTTAATTAAATTCCAGCTAAAATGTACCCACTAAAAAAAAAAAATCCTTAAACCATTGCGTTTGGGCATTTTGTTGACTTTGAAAAGCAGCCAGTCACAGTATAATTTGATTGTACATAAGTTGTTTATGTATTTTATGTTAGCAAGTTCTGGTCAGGTGTCAGATATCACTGAATGCATTTTCACATTCACACACAGCAATTTCCTCACACAGTAGAGCCCTGCAGCGTGTGTAATGCACAGAGCTCTGTAGTGCCAGAGGCAGATCAACGCTGTGTAAAAAATGATGACATTGGCAGCAACACTCCAGAGGTGTTTGCATGTGTTTCCTGCTGTGGCCTGAAATATGAGGCCTTTACCTCATATTTTTTTAATAAGAATTCCCTACCACAGGCTAGAAAATGTCCTCTTGGAGTCAAAATTATTGTTCATTAATTACACAGACATGTGTGGACTTCTTTGCCATCCAGTTGCATCACACATTGAAAAACATTCACATAAAATGCCTCCGAATTAAACCGTTAGAGTACTTTAGCAGTACTCCGTTCCTCCAGGCCAGAGCTACTGTGGGTAATTTGCTGTCTTAATGACATAAATATCTTACACGGTCTGTTTTGTAGAATTAGGCTTTAAAAATAAAGTGGAGAATGTTGTTCGTTTAAAGCTGTGATTACGTGTCATTACTCAGCAGTAATTTATCTTCATAATTGGTGTTGACACAAAGGCCCACACAGAGCGGATCTGATGTCGGGGTAGTAGCAGCTGGTCAGGAGACGTGGCTTCCATTTTCAGGCCGGAGTTAAGTTGTCAGCTTTTAGTTGGAAGCGTGCCAGTGAAAGTCAATAAAGGCGGCTCTAATCACAGGAGGAAAACACGGCCGCTCTGTAAAACAAGGCCATGAAATCAACTTGGCAACCATGTAAGATGTGTTATTAATGATGTTTAAGTACTGAAAAGAACTTTAACATGTATGTACGTGTGTGTGTGTGTGTGTGTGTGTGTAGTTATATTTATTTATATTTTTTATTTATTCATGTTTATATACATAGTTCTGGCATGAAACTCTAGATGACACAGTCCGATAGATCTAACTCAATCTGACCTAATGGCATCATTATCACATGACACAGCTGATTAGTTCTCTCCTGTATCGGTAGCCAATGAGCTTGCTGCTCAACATTCAAATATATGACTAGTGCTTGCCGTAGCAGTGCAGCTTTCTTCAGAAACCCTCCACCTTCCCCAGCTCCACCTGTATAGATCTGCTACGAGGTGATTCATGTATACTATATGGGAATATCTCATGTATGTTATATTTGCAGCAGCAATATTTCTTACATGCTCACAGCAGCATGTTGTGGATGTATTGGCAGTAGCAAGTCTCGGTACTATTATATTAATTTTGTTTTCAAAAAAATTATACCCTAAACTTTGAACTATAGTGTATATTTATAATATGTATATATCCATTCTATGAATCAACTGAAATTCTCACCAATAATATCAAAGCCCTGAATCCTATCAAGTCTGATGATTAAAATCAAATCCTGCCTTATTTCTCTCTGAATATTCGGTTTCATTCTGAAATGCATAAAATTATACGAGTTGCAATTTTGACTGGTTGAAGGTTTTCAGAGCAACACCAGATGTACAGTACATACACACAGCTCATAATTGCTGAGTTACTAAAATAAATCTCTCCTCATGTAATTCCTCTTCCTCATGCAGTGGGATCGGCAGAAACTGGCCATGGGCGTCAGGAGGAAGCAGTATTCTTGCCGAATACGGGACGCTGCATTTGGAGTTCATGCATCTCGGTGCACTTTCGGGAAGACCAGTTTTTGCAGAGAAGGTGAGCAGCAGTTCAGGCGTCACGCCTCTGCAGTGCATTAAACACCACACTGAACTAAATGTGAACTTGGAGCGATCGTGAACTGTTAGAAGAGCTGACAGCAGTGACCCAGGATGACCTCTGCTCGTAACCGTTATGTTGATGCTCTTTTCTTCAATTCTCAGATCTGATTCTCTCCGAGTGAATCTGCTGACCTGACCTGCAATATAGACACAGACAAATGACACTATTACAAGCTCTGAATGAGGCTAGACAAACTGTGAAAGTGACCTAGTCTGTAGATTTATGAGTTATGTCTCCTGTAGGAAGACATCGGTCGGATCAAAAAAGCTGTTTACTGCGTTTTTAATGGCGTACTGTATTGGATGAGCTTAGCTATGGCTTAATAATTTGAAGTGATGATACAAGCGATATGTGCTCTGCCGTTGCAGGTAATGAACATCAGAAAAGTGCTGAATCGACTGGACAAACCTCAAGGATTGTACCCAAATTACCTGAACCCTAACAGTGGACAGTGGGGCCAGCGTAAGTCCAAAAACACACACATACTGAAGAACCTCAGAAGTATTCATTGAAATGTAATATTCTCAAGAAGTTTTCCCAGAAATGTCATGATTAAAGGGGTCATATGATGTTGCTAAAAAGAACATTATTTTGTGTATTTGGTGTAATGAAATGTGTTTATGCGGTTTAAGATAAAAAAAACACATTATTTTCTACATACTGTACATTATTGTTTCTCCTCTATGCCCCGCCTTTCTGAAACGCATCGATTTTTACAAAGCTCATCAGTCTGATTGGCCAGCTATCCAGAGCGTTGTGATTGGCCGAATACCTCAAGCGTGTGACGGAAATGTTATGCCCCTTACCATACTGTGATGCCTTGTCCCGGCCGGAGCGACGAGACAAAAACATTAAAACCCATTATAAACGAGGCATTTGTTGCATCCAGTGGGGACATAATTACGGATTATAATGGTTTATACTGTCTTTTTACGCGTTGTATTGCATCGCGCCGCATAAACATAAAACCATGTCTGTATTTGTGATCGGAGAAATTACAAACAATAAGCGCTACTCTACACTGCTCAAAACTCGCGTTTGAATTGTCAGTGGCAAATTCTTTAAATATAAAAACGTACTTACAGTCTGTGAGTCAGAACAACCGGCATTGTAGTCTACTCTCCCAGGATCAGGAAACAGTCCTCCATAAAATGTGCTGCACACATCTGGATATTTGGGTTGAACTGTTCTGGAACAGTGTTGTAAATACAACTTAACCACTGATTTCTAGTTGCCCTCTTTTGGAAGGTCAAACAAAGTAGTTTTGCTTTCACAACGAAACACAGCGTCACAAACGAGGCCTAGAGTGAGCAGAGGCAGGCGGCTAGAGTGAGCGGAGGCTGGCTTGAGTTAGCAGCGGCGGGCGGGTTTGTGGCGACCCCGGGCTGGACTCCACTTCGTCCATGGTGAAAGCGAATCCGGCGATCCACAGCGCGATGTTGATGTATTTCCTCAGCGACCAGCACGAATCAGCTCCAGGCATGACGAAGCGGATATCATCCTCTTTTGTAAGGCCAAACAAAGTAGTTTCGCTTTCACAACGAAACACACAGCACCTTCAAGACATGGCAGCGGCGGCAACAGCAATACTACAGCAAGAATAAAAGTTACACCTTTCTTAGCGTGAACATTTAGGCGGCGTTATGCAAATCTTCCCACATAGTGAGGTAGACATGTGGGGGCGTGTTAGAACGAGCCGTTTTAAGTAGGCGTGGTTGACTCTTAACTTTTATAAAGAATATCTCTTTGGATTTGAGACTTTAGTCTTTGCAACTTTGCAGATCTTCTTTATGCACCAAGAGCTTGTAACACTCCAAAGAGAAAGGAAAAATTGAAATCGCATCATATGACCCCTTTAAAATTAGTGTCTTTATCCGTAGGTTGTTGAGCAAAATGCTTTCTCTTAAGTGGAATTGATTTACAAGTGTTTCTCTTATAGATAGAGCGTTGATTTGTACACAAAACACTCTCATGATGGCAGATTCAAGAGAATATTTGTAGTGGATTGACCCATTTTCTCTTTAGGGCCTCTAAATTAAAGGAATAGTTCATCAAATGAAAAGCTGAAATAATATATGATGTTTTTTCATGTTTTCTAAAGTATGTATTATTACTATTATTATTATTATTATTATTATTATATAGCTGGTAGCTAGTGTTGTGAAGATCAACAATATCAATAAATATACAACTTTTATATAATAATTATGATACTATAATCATTCATTTTATATTATTTGTGTTTTTAATTTATATGTATTTATATACATTTACATAAATATTTATATAAATGTAATATATATTTATATTGGCTGGTTTTCTTTTGAAGCCTTGAGGTTTGATGTTATTTTTTAGATTATATAGACATACATACATATATATATATATATATATATATATTAGACAGCTGGTTGTTTCTCGTAATCAGGGTTTTGATTATTGGCATGAAGTCAGTGTGATGGATGGATGGATGGATGGAACTTCTAAACATGACTTTGCTCGCCAGCAAACTGATAAAAAACTTTGCAGTTCCATTTGCAATCACTGATTACAGCCAGCTTTTTACATTTTTGGGTGAAATCTGGAGCAGACGGTTTGTGCTCATGCCATATGAGACTGACTAGACCAGTGGCACCCCTGAAACTGTCGAGAAATGTCAGCTTTCTCGCCACTTCTGTCTTCATCGTGCTTTAAGGGTTAATTATGCAACACAGCCAGAAATATACACACTCTTTTCCTTAAGTTCATGCTGTAGACGACACACACATCAATAGTTTGGGAGGTTTTATGCTGGTCCCCCAGCAACTGGAATGATGACTTCAGTGAGGCCTGCTCTGCCGCATTAGCCGGCTTTCGTGCCGTCCTCGCTCCGAGGGGTTTATTGACGGCTTAGCGTGGCGAGCAGCGCTGTCTCAACTTCTTGGTCAGTGATGACGCAGGCACTTGATGATGAAGAGCCAGAGGAGAGTAAAGATAGTGCAGTGTGTGTCGTTGGGATAATACAAGCACATGAATTCTGATCGTCATGAAAAAAAAGAGGCTTTTGAGCTGTCAGAATGTAGCAATACGAAAACAAGTTTTCTTTCCTGTGCATTGGAGCAAGTCCTTCTTTTTTCCCTTTGACAAAAGTAATTTGTTAAGACGATCGTAAACAAAAATGATCTGAGATGGCAGCAGGCCGCAGGGAAGATGGGATGGTAACGTACGGCTGCACTTAAAAATAGCTGTCAGTCTTTTTGCTTCGCACAAGTAGTCCAGAACAGTCCTGAAGGGCTTTCCATATGGGTCAGTTGTCATGTTTGGGTTTGAGCAGCTAGTAACTCTAGGGTTGACCTTAATGAAACAACAACATGAATCAACTATCCTATATATTCCACAATCTACCCTTCGTCTTTTATCTTCTTTCATTTTCTCATCATTATACATCAAACTTAGTCCTGCATTGTCAGAAATTCTCAGTGTTTCAAAGCAGCCTGTCTCCAGTTTAGCTTCATATGTGCCACTCGACAGAAGTTCCAAAAGCTAGTAAGCGGTCTTATGAGGTTACATCCTACCGAAATGAAATCTAATGAGAGACTGAATAGGAGCACTTGTTTTAACTTTATATAGGGGGACATTTAGTCACCCTCACGTCCTTCCCATTTTTTCTTTTGTGAAACACAAAAGGAAGTGTTAGGCTGAATATCTGAGCCCTATGAAAAAAGTAGTTAATGATTTGTACTGTCAAGCTCCAGAATAGACAAAAGGTCTCATGCTATGCTATGTTGTCGCATTGCACTTGTAGCCCCACCCACAGTGAAATCTCATTGGTTCATAACCCCATTCCACATGTACATCAGACAATGAATATGTTTTGATTAGCTGTAGTTTTGTCACTTACCATTTTTCTTTCAGTAAGGACTTGCTGTGCTGTGAGTAAGTATGAAATGTGGGGCTATGATAGAGCACCCGACGTGCACGAGGTCTGTTTCAGGGCTTTTCTGTATGCTTCAGTGCTGTACAGAGAGGCTTCACATGTTCCCAGTGTCTGTTGGGTAATAATCTCAGCTGGTCATTGCAAGAGCTGACAGCAAAACTCCCGTTTCCTGCTGTCAAGCTTTTACCAACAGAAGACCTCACAGATCCTTTGCACAATGAAGCCCTCTTACCACCAGCGCAGGACAGTTTGGAGTTTCTATGTGATGTGTGTGAGCCGTTACTACGACAGTGAGGAAAAGCCATCTTATGTGACTAAGAAACTTAATGAGGTAGTGCAGAGGTGCTCAAAGTTTGGCCTACAGGCAAATCCAGTCTGCCACAAGTTTATCAATGACCTCCTGCTGAAGTCTTTTAAAGACTTTTTTGAGAATGCAATCACTGCTTCTGTGTCTGCACTGCAAGAGAATGAAACGACATCTCCCATTATAATAAATAAAGCACTGCAAGAAAGACTCCTCTTGTCAAAATCACCGGAGTGATCTAGTTTTGTCATGTCACTTTGCTTGCAGTGCACTTTTATTTTAAAGGGGTCATAAGATGCGATTTCAATTTCTCCTTTCTCTTTGGAGTGTTACAAGCTCTTGGTGCATCAAGAAGATCTGTAAAGTTGCAAAGACTAAAGTCTCAAATCCAAAGAGATCTTCTTTATAAAAGTTAAGAGTCAACCACGCCTACCTAAAACGGCTCGTTCTAACACGCCCCCACATATCTACGTCCCTATCTGGGAAGATTTGCATAACGCCGCCCAAATGTTCACGCAAAGAAAGAAGGCGTAACTTTTATTCTCGCTGTAGTATTGTTGCTGCCGCCGCCATGTCGTGAAGGCGCTGTGTGCTTCGTTGTGAAAGCGAAACTACTTTGTTTGGCCTTCCAAAAGAGGACAATATTGCTTCGTCATGCCTAGAGTTGATCCGTGCTGGTCACTGAGGAAATACTTCAACTTCGCACTGTCGATCGCCGGACCGGCTTTCACCGTGGACGAAGCGGAGTCCAGCCCCCTTGTGGACAAACCATTCACTCTTGTTCAATGCGAATGCCGTATGCTGGAATATGAGCAGTCATTTATTCCGTCATCACCCGGGTGCTGATAGCGCACGCACAGCTGAGACCTGAACAGCACACGTTGATATCTGTGTTTAAACTAAACTCATGTAAGATTTGCAAGTTTAAACATTTAAGAGCCAGAGGACGTGAGCTCGTGCGTGCAGTGAGAAGATTTGTGAGTGCACTCATCCGAAGCGCGAAACGCGCATCTCAGAACGTGCACGAATATTAAGCAGTCTCTGAAGTATTGTGTTTAAATGGACAATTTCACAAAAATTGTCAAAATGCCCATCTTGGTAAGTATCCTATAGCAGACATAACCGGCTGAACATACTTAGTGTCTTAAAGTGACAGCACTTTCTTAATATTAATCAAAACGCAACAACAAAGAAATCACTCACTGCTCTTGATTGAATAGGTTTTGTAACTTTAATAAATATTAATCTTTAATTTATAGTCAAATATGCAATGCTGTTTTACATTTCATTACTTTATTCAATTCAATTAGTTAGGCCTACCTAAAAAACCTGAAAATCACTGTTTATTTTTTATTTGTATCTTTACTCTATTGTATTTATTTGTGCTGTTGCTTGTAGTTAGATTATTCTTATGTTATTTATTTTTATTTGACAGTATAATTTTTCCCTAAACATAGCTCGTACCGAAACCGTGACCCTAAAACCGTGATACAAACCGAACCGTGAGTAAGTTGAACTGTTCCACCCCTAATTGATAATAATTATAAGAAATGTTTCTTTAGCCCCAAATCAGCATATTAGAATGATTTCAGAAAGATCATGTTACTGAAGACTGAAGTAATGATGCTGAAAATTCAGCTTTGCGTCACAGGAATAAATTACATATTAAAATGCATTGAAATAGAAAATAGTTATTTTAAATTGTTATAATATTTCGCAATATTACTGTTTTACTGCATTTCTCTATCAAATAAATGTAGCCATAGTGAGTATAAGAGACTTCTCTTAAGAATCTAACTGACCTAAAACTTTTAAAGGTACTTTTAATTGATAATCAGATTTATTCAAAGAAAGTTTCTCAATTCATTAAGTCTTATGACTTTTTTTTTTAATAATGGTGAAGCAAAGAATCAGAATATGCAAATACTGTCATCGCTGATTGGTTCAAAGTAACAGACCTTCTAAAGCATGTTCTAATGTGCGTTTCATTTAGTAGTTCATTTAGGTTTTATAACAACTGATGCTTCCAATTAGATAGTGCCATTATGAATTTTACAGATAAATTACAGTGAAAGTTTCTTTAAGTCTTGATATATTTGTAAAGGTTTAAGACGTTTAAAGTTGAAACATTAACAGACTGGCAGCATTTTTGAAGTTGAAAGAATTATGTATTTTTATGAAAGAGAGGTTTTTCTTTCTTTTTTTCACTTTGACTTAGGGCTGCACAATTAATCAAATTTCTAATTGCGATTACAATTATGGATGCCACAATTACAGAATCATTCAAAGTGACAATTAATCGTTCAAAGTCAACTTATGTTATTCTGTGTGCTTAAGATGCTTTTTTTTTCTTCGTTATATTCGTTAAGGGTTTTTCCATTGTTTTAATTTTAGTTTTAGTATAACACTATAATACCATTCATATTTTTATGAATACTTTTTTTATAATTTAAAGAAGAAACCAACCCGATGTATAGTTGACATTTGAGGCTTCATACTATAGAAAAGCACTAAAAGTTTTTCAGTTAGTGTGTTTTCAGCTTGTTTATTTTCATATACAAATATGGCATGCAGTTGCATCAAACAATGGTATAAACATCATTCAATGTAAATTGTGATAATCATAATTAATAATCGCAATTACAATTTCAAGGGAATAATCGACAATCATGATTTTTGTCATAATCGTGCAGCCCTACTTTGACTACATAGTTCTGTAAAATGAGAAGGCTCTGACCAGCACTTATGACTGGATATAAATCTGAGCACATATAGCTGTAATTGTTGGTTACTGCACATTTTAAAGCCATATGAAAGTCAAGGATCGGCTATTAGCAGGTCGTTTTATTAAATGCCCCCTGGTGCACATTTTGGCCCATGAGCTGCATAATTTGAGTATCCCAGAGGAAGATTAACAAAGAATTGCCTAATTCAGAAATGTAGCCGAGCGCTAACAGACAAAATGGGTACCATAAAAGCCCCTTTGACATTTGAAATAAGAATTTAATCTAAAGCAAAATGCTTGTTTTTCCTTTCTGTGCATTTTCTCTGAATAGTAGCGTGGCAGTGTATTTTTTTTTATGGTTGTCTGCACTGAGGCTTGATTTCTCTTGACATATCTATCACAAAAACAAGTGCTTAATGAGGTATAAATATTCATGAGCTTGATCATCAATCAGACAATCACACAACAGTGCTGCTCCTCGAGCCACAGATTCTCATTTCTCACACACAGTGGACCAGACAGCACTGAACGGACTGCCCCATTCACAGGCCACCTAGAAACACACACGCATACACATTTTATTTCTCCTTACGCACACAGACCTGCCTGGAGGAATTCACTAGACTCAAGCATACACCGCACATACAGTAGTTCAGATATGGGATCTTAGTGGCCAAAGAGATATTCTTTATAAAAGTTAAGTCAACCACGCCTACCTAAAACGGCTCGGTTAGTTGCCGCAAGCCCGCCGGCTGCTCCTTCGTCGAATTAGCCGTCCGTGCCGTTCTCAAGCCCGCCCGCCGCCGCTCACTCTAGCCGTCGGCCTCTGCTCACTCAAGCCCGCCGTGTGTGACGCTGTATGTTTCGTTGTGAAAGCGAAACTACTTTGTTTGGCCTTCCAAAAGAGGACACGACTAGAAATCAGTGGTTACGTTGTATTTACAACACTGTTCCAGAACACTTCAACCAAATATTCCGATGTGACCAGCGCATTTTATGGAGGACTGTTTCCTGATCCTGGTAGAGTAGACTACAATGCCGGCTGTTCTGACTTTGCCACTGACGATTCAAACACGAGTTTTGAGCAGGGTAGAGTAGCGCTTGTTGTTTGTCATTTCTCCGATCACAAATGCAGTCATGGTTTTATGTTTACGTGGCGGGATGCAACGCGTAAAAGACCGTCATTATAATCCATAATTATGTACCCGCTGGATGCAGCAAATGCCTCGTTTATAATGGGTTTTAATGTTTTTGTCTCATCGCTCCGGCCGGACAGGGCATCACAGTATAGTAAGGGGCGTAACATTTCCGTCACACGCTTGAGGTATTCGGCCAATCACAACGCACTGGATAGCTGGCCAATCAGAGCACACCTCGCTTTTCAGAACGATGAGCTTTGTAAAAATTAACGCGTTTCAGAAAGGCTGGGCATAGAGGAGAAACAATAATGTACAGTATGTGGAAAATAATGTGTATTTTTAACCTTAAACCACATGAACACATTTCATTACACCAAATACACAAAATAATGTTCTTTTTAGCAACATCATATGACCCCTTTAACTAAAATCTAATTTAAATAATTTGCTAGATTTGAACACTTTCTTTAGAAAAAGTGAGTGGTGCTTACCCATACACACCTCTGTGATGTTAAGGTGTCCTTAGTGGTTCCTAGGCTGTTCTAAGTGGTTGCTAGGGTGCTTTTGGTGGTTGCAATGGTGCTTTGGGTGGTTACTAAGTGCTTACAGTGGTGTTCTAGGTGGTTGTTAGGGTGTTCTTATTGGCCGCTAAGGTGTTTTAGGTGTTGCTAGGGTGTTCTAAGTGGTTGCTAGGGTGTTCTATGTGGTTACTAAAGTGTTCTTATTGGCCACTAGGGTGTTTTAGGTGTTGCTATGGTGTTCTAATTGTTTGCTAGTATATACTAAGTGGTCACTAGGATGTTTCAGTGGTTGTTAGGGTGTTTTAGGTGGTTGCTAGGGTGTTCTAGGTGGTTGCTAAAGTGTTCTTATTGGCCACTAGGGTGTTTTAGGTGTTGCTATGGTGTTCTAAGTGGTTGCTAGGGCATTTTAGTTGTTGCTAGGATGTTCTAAGTGCTTGCTAGAGTATTCTAAGTGTTTGCTAATATATACTAAGTGGTCACTAGGATGTTTCAGTGGTTGCTAGGGTGTTCGTATTGGCCACAAGGATGTTACAGGTGGTTGCTAGGGTCATTTCTTTTAACATGGGTAATGTACCTCCTTAATATCATCATTAAGCTAATGGCCATTGTAAAATGCTGAGATGAGAGCGCTTCTCTATAGATCTCTCGTACTGCGTGAAATTTTGTGTGTGTGTGCATGTTTATGCTTAATAATTTGTGTTATTCTGTTTAAAGCAGTCACACTGCAGACTACTATGCTGGCACATGAATGAAGGAAGAGATTTTTCACTCACTCTGCTGTTTTTGCTGTGTTGCAGATCACGTCTCAGTTGGAGGCTTGGGGGACAGTTTCTATGAGTACCTGCTGAAGGCCTGGCTCATGTCAGACAAAACTGACGAGGAGGGAAAGAAGCTTTACTATGATGCCCTGCAGGTAAAGACCAATGTTACAGAAAGAGATGAAGCCCAGAGAAATGTTACACTCTACTGGCCATTTAATCAGATGCTGACTAGAAAAGAGCATTCTTGACATCCTTGTTTTTGGAGGATGCCTGCTATCTAAAGTTACTTGTGTCAGCAAAATAATGAGGATCCAGAGTACTTCAGTGTCTAATCGGAGCTCAGTACCAACACAGTCATGGTTCGAGTTGATACCAGGGTTGAGTGAAATACTGAATTTGAGAATTGGGTCCCTTTCAGTTCATGAATGTGAATTCTAAATTTCATTGGCCACGTCCCACAGGATGTGGAATTGGAATGACAGGAAGTGGAATTTACTGAATTGCAGTTCATGCAAAGATAAGACATATATTAGTCCAATAAAACAAAATTACATACTTAATTTTGACTAGTTATGCCTATTTATTTCCTGAATTGTAGAATACCTTTTTTAGATATACGTTTTTTCTGTTTTTATTCTAAACTTAGACCAGTACTGCACTAAAAACAGTTAATACACAAATTAATTTAAATTTTCAGATAACTAAAATAAACTAAATGAAGTAAATCTGAAGTTTGGCTCAATTTTAAAGAGTAAAGTAGTACATTCTAGGAAATTAATTGTTCCACCATAAAATCAAAGTTATTTTTTTTAAATAATAACAAAAGTAGTGCTATATAGTTAATATACAATTCTATAGTTGTCATTAAAAACATTGTTTAATGCATATATATAATAATCTTTTATAATGTTTCTGGAAATACTCCATATGTTGTTTGATAACATGTTTATGGGAATTCATACTAAAAAATGAAATTTATTGTTTGCAAATCTGCACCCTGTTTGCCCATTTAAATTTAGTTCTCAAGATGTTTTTTTTTTTTTTTTTTTGATCTCTGCAGAACGATCCAGGTTCACAATATTGTACAGGCTGAATTTTTTACCTCACAGCTCATTTATCTTTCACAAATTAAATTTAACATCTAGTTAGACTAAAGTTGATGTATTAGAATAACAGAAGTGGTTGTTCTGTAGGGTTGTAAGTTTTTTGCCCTCAAGTTTCAACTGTCCAGTTGTTCCTGTGTGAATTTTGAACATTTTTGCATTGCAAATTTTAGTCTGTTGTTCAAGCTTGAACTGAAAATTTGTCCTCTGCAGGTTTTGAGTTTGTGAGTTGGAATTCGTCTTTATAGTGTCTAACTGTAGGAAAGTAAAGTGTGTGTGTGTGTGTGTGTGTGTGTGTGTGTGTGTGTGTGTGTGTGTGTGTGTGTAATCTGACATCAGCG